TACCTATTGTCATGTTTTGTTTAAGAAATAACTAGTTAACACAACTTACATCATCTCCAGACATTTCTACTCCTGATCCATTTTTTACCTCAACATTTTTGGACTTGGAAATATCCTAGAATATGAAAAATTATCAAAACAACATGAAATACATTTTTTTTTTTTTTTGCTCATCTATTAAATAAATAATGTACCATCACACAAACAACATAATCATGCATATCTACCAAAAATATATAAGTTGAGGACAAGTCACAATTATATTGACTTAAGTAAATAACTTCAAGAAAAACAGTCATTAATGTTATTTTATTTATGTATTCTTTAAAATTATCGTTTGATGATTATAGTCTGAATTTTGATGGGCACCTCTCTGAAGTTTCATTTATTTAATTCAAAAATATACAACAAATATTTTATCTAATTTATCTTGAATACACACATCCATTAGGTAAATAATATTAGTATAATAGTTGGATGCACCTAATACAATTTATCCATTTATCTATTTATTGTTCTCGTACACATAATTGTACTTGCATGTCATAATTAATGACACACATTGTACAAAAAATATAACACAACCAGCAAGTATATAAAATCAGTCTTCAGACTTAAATGTTGTGATATCAAAATGTGTTGGAATATTTATCTAAAAATATGCAGTAATCAGTCTAACAAATATTCAATTTTATAAAATATACCTACATAGGTATTAGTAGGTATTAATATCTAATATTTTTAATAATTTACATTAATTCATACATAATAATAATAACAATTGAACCCTTGAAACAATATAATCGAGCAGAAATTGAGAGGAAATATGTACGAAAAATCATTAGAATAGCGAAATACATAGGCGATAGGCCAAAACAAATATAAGTTGAGCAATCGTTTACCTTGTCTTTTTTCAGTAATATCCTATTTGGCATTTTCAATTCGTTCACTATGTCATATACGTTCTGAAACACAATAAAATTATATTTACGTATATTCTAAGAAATTTGTTAACTCAAAACTCAAAACGTATTAAACTTTCCCACGAAACTCGGTACTTTTTCGTTTTTTCTTATTGTCAACACAATGAACTACGTAACAGTTTGTTAAGTGGAGAAGGAAACCTTTCGGTTATCTGTCTAACAAACGTACACAACATCAGTTCATTTTTGACGGGCATTATCCGATATACAGAAATTGCGTATTGGATAATGAGCACGATTTAAGAATTTAAGATTAAGAAATAAGAATTAAGAATAAATCGTGGTAAAAAGTTTGATGCATTTAGTTGAAGTACTGTACCTACTTGTAAGTTGTGTTCTGTAGTTATGTACTATGTAGTAATTGCCACTACTCACTTGTCTTGTAATCTTGTCAAAGAATAATAAACTAATAAATAATAATATAATCAGATAATTTATGATTATTATGATGTACTATTATGCTTAAACTTATGAGTTTTTGACGTTGTTATAAAAATGTTTCAACAGTTATTATGAAATAATTATTTTTCAATTTAATCACTTTAATAGACTAGTCTATCAACACAACATTACTACGTTATGCGTACCTAAAGTCTATGCTGTAAACATAATACTCTAATATTAGCCATTTTTTATTTTTTTTATTATTCTTTCTTAATGTACATAAACTGTCAAATAGGTTTTCTTTATAGTTCGACGTTATATTATGTCCGTGGTTTAAATAATTATAAAATATAAATGTGTATTAATGTAATTCTACCCCAATCACTGAATAGATGAAATTTCAAATGTTATGAATTATTAATTTCCCCTATAATTCTTTGCGCCAACCCCAAGTGTTTATTTAATTTGAATGATATAATCAAGTTATTTTCGTAATGGCGGTAAAAGTATTTTAAAATGTTCGATAAAAACACATTGGCAATAATAGTTTACTGACAGTGGCGTAACTGAGTTAAGGAACTAAAGAGACAATATAAATTAGTAACAAAAATCCCCGAGCCCTCCCCCCATCAGCTTAAATATATTTTTATTCTATTTGTACTTGATTGTTTATTTTTACACAACTCATAATTAATACTCATTTTATGATTTAGAACAAATCTCAGGTATAGTAGTTTCAACTAGTTTAAGATAGTATCTTTAATCGTAGTAGGTACCCTTATAGATAAATATTATCAACTATTAAGTACCTAGGGTTCATTAATCAATTCAACATACTAATGATCTGATATTCCGACATTATAATTTAGTTGGAATTCGTGGGTATAATACCTTTAAGCTAAGTAATCTTAGAAGTTACAGGTTAGATCAGATAGCAACCATTTAATAATACTGTTCTGATAAGAACTTGTGGGTTCCCTCGAAATAAATCACGAAGAGTTCATGTTAGAAACTTTAAATCCAAATACCAAATCTACTAAACGGATGTTCAAAAACGTAGTTTTTTTTTAAATTTTAACGTAGGTACCTATTATTTAAAAGATCGAAGTCCCCCCCCCCCTTATGTTATGATTATTAAATCCATTTAAGACTTAAGTATTATTATAGTTTAATGAACAACTGATTAATTTAAAGGTTCACTAAAATTGAATGGACCAATCATAGGACACTAAATCATGTTCAAGCGACCATTATTTGGGTGATGCTGACTATTGATTCATCAAATGTTTAGTGATTCTTTATGAGACCATTAGACCAATGACCATGCATGGCTGTTTAACTACTTAAAATGTAATAATATTAAATAGAATTTTAGATTCTGAGCGATCATTCTCAATTGATCTTATAGTCATGTTTTTAAAAAAAAAAATTTTGTATGTAAATGTGTAATGACAAGCGTCAAGCAGTTGAAATAATGATTCGATTTTCAACTTCAGTATATTTTGAAATTTTCCAGCGGGAAAGAAATTAGTAGGTGCATTTGGGAAGAGTCAAATCATGAAAGAAGTAGCTTTCTAATGCGCCGGGAAAAAAACAAAAAAAAAAATTTTAAAAAAACGGAAATTTTTACTCAAAATCGATATTGCAGGTTTTAGGTGTAACTCTTAAAAAAAATACTTTAGATAGGTACATAAAAATTCCACTGAACGTTTGTATTAGCATTTTCTCATACAATATTTTAAATTATGTTGTCCTATTAATAAGACATTGATTTTTATAAGTTTTTTTTAAATGCTAATGTCCTGTGCATGATTTGGAATAAAATTGGGAGGACTCAACAGACGTTGGATAAAAGAGCGTTCCCACAAAATTAACCATCACCTTACCGCTGGGGAGAAACCCCCACACCCGCTTCAGCAACAATCACATTCAAACAATATTAAATTTGTTCTACAAATATAAAAATGAAAAAATACACTTATTTATTAATTACCAATGACTGAAAACTGTTAAGTTTCATGATTCTATGTCAAAAATAGATCCTACTGCAGTCCAAAACTGCAATGAACTGACCCAACGAGTTTGTTGCATGTAACTGAATTTTTTTTATAGTTATAAGGAAATTTAATAAATATTTTTTTTTTCGTAAATACGAGGTAAAACTGTATGACTATTATATTTTGCATTAGAAAAACTGATAATTTTCTTATTCACTAGTAAAAGTTGCGCTCCCAGCTTTCCGTTTCAAAAAAAAACAGAAGGGGGATGCTCCATAAAAAAACTGAGAAAGAGAACTTCGTCCTCCATGCACCACCTCAAATTAAGCATTGTAAATGTCGATAAAAAAAATTTCATTTAGGTAGGTACTCAAAATACTTGAAAATGTAATTCAAGGTTCCTCATAAGTTGGTCTTAGTAGAAATTTAAAAAAAAGTTAAGCGTAGATTCGTAATAATTTTTTATGAGCGTCTGAAGTTAGAATTTTGATAAAATTCGTAAAAATCACGAAAGTTACAAAATTATTTGTTGGAAATTCATAAAATGTTGTATTTTTTTAGATTTGAAAGTATAAAACGAAGTTCTTCACAAGTTTGTCCTATTTCTTCTTCAAAAAAAAAATATCTATAGGAAAGTCAAATTAGATTTCTATAAGCGTTTAAATTCAAATTTTTACAACATTAAGAATTCTATAACTCGAATTTTCATGGAATGACTTTCTTATTTTGTTGTAGTTCAAAAACGACAAATCGTAGATATTTGACATTTACACCTGATGTTAATTTTATCATTTTCTATACTAGTTAAAATTTTCAAAATTTTTTTACCCAATTTCAGATATTTATAGACATTATCAATTTTCAATTTTTTTAGTTTTTTTTTTTCTATAAATGTCAATAAAATTGTATGTGTTAGCTTAAACACTTGAAAAATTAATTCATAATTGTACTCATATTTTGTTACAATATCAATTCAAAAGTATTTAAAATACATAAGCAAGATTTCATTTTATAAGCATATAATATTTTCAAATTATTTTGTAATTAAAAATTTATAACAATGTTCCGTAAGTAATTCATTCTATAACCAAAAAATCTAAAAAAATATATAAACACAGTATTTGAGTGACAATGCATAGTATTTAAACTAAGAATAATGATTTTAGTTATTTTGTTGTAATTTAAAAATATTATTTGTGGGTAATTGACACTTTTAAAGTATATTATCATATTGTATATGCACAATGACATTTTCAATTAATGCATTGATTCTTGTATACATTTTAACAATTGGATGAAGTTTAGATACAAATTTATAATACCTATGAGCTATTGATATCATAGAAAAAACGATGAAATTATAATGTTAGAATTAAAGCGTTTCATAAATAATATTGTAATTTACAAAAATAGGGTAAGAGTGTAGGACAATATGATTTGTTGTTTAAGAAAAATATATCTAAATTATATGTCATCAGATTTATTTATTTTGATAACAACACTGACCCCACATAAACTTTTAATAATCAATTTTATTTCAAACTTATTTAAAAAAAATTATATGTAGAATTATTATGTATTTATTATACATATTTCAAAATAAAAAAATATATTTTACATAAAATATATAGCACAAATTACAATTAACTATTTAAAACAAATGTATATCATATATAAAAACATAATATTAAACATTTACTTAGAAATTAATTTGTACAGATATGCTATAAAGTATAAGATTTCCCAGATCCACGAGAATCTGAGAAAGCAACAGATCTGTCTTCTTCTTTTTGTACTATATTAGAAGTAGGATAAGGCAAAGTTGCTTCAGATAAACTAAATCCAAAATTTAATAATAATTCTGAAAATTGTTTAGTCATATTATTTGGATATTCTATTGCAACATCATTATTTTTTAAACGAAAACGAGGAATATTATTAACACTTATTATATCTTGTGGGTTTGTTTTTAACATTGATAAAAGTAATTGAGTACCATCACGTACATCAGCAGCACCTGATATTAATCTTCTTCCACATAAATTTCCTGTTTCTACAGCAATAATTGGTAAATGCAACGATGTTACTCGTTCTGTTTGATTTATCATACAATCTTTAAAATTTGAATCCAAAACATTGTTCAATATATAGCCGGAGTTAGTTAAGTTACGGGATCCAAAAACAGAACCAAGACCACTAAGAAACAAATTAAAATACAGATCTGAATAAATATTTTATGAAATAATATAAGTAATAAGTTATAAGGTTTATAGGTATATAATATACCTTATAATCGTTACATAAAGATCAAAAGCATCTGTAGTTGAAACTTGTAATCCTGAATTTTGATTACAATTATCCCCTAAACCTGCAAAAATTATCATAAATTATGTAAAATAATTAAAAGATTTTAAGCTTTTAAATGGCTTACTTTTAAAGCTATTCAATAATGATAGATCTTCAGGATATGTACTAGTATTATTCATTTTACTTAATACTTCCAGTAAAATTGGTCCTCCGGTACCTTTATTGGAAGTTATTATGCAATAGTTCATAAAATTTTGTTTTAATACTGGTAAAATAAGTGGTTGATAGCTAATTACATCATCTGGCTTTAAAGTAGACTTCAATTCTTCAGACATTTCTTTATAAAATTCTTAAAATTAAAAAACAATATTATATTTAAATTAAATATTTTGTATAGATATGTTAAGCTTTAGGTACTGGGTACCACATCAATATAACTTTTGACTAACACCCACATATTATAGTAAAAACAAGTAAATTGTTTAAATATTACATATCGTATCTATATTCCCATAGAACAAAATTACCGCATCAAGTTAAAAATAACTTAGGTCACTTATTTGTCATTTATGGTTCATCCGAGGAAACTCATAAAATACACAAGTTCTATACCCTATTCCAGTGTTCCACCAGCATTTTAAAATTAGAGAAAAAATGATAAAACTTTATTTATCAATTTTATTATTTAAAATAACTAATATGTACTTCTGTAAGCCATTTTGTGTTAAATATCCATTGTTTAGTGTATTATAAAATGTTAAAAACGTACTTAAATAACCTTTTTTTTTCTGCTATTCCCCGAATATCTTATAAAATGTTAAATGTTCTGTCATTTGAAAAAGTTGAACATGAGAAAACATGCCGGTTTTACACACACACCCCCATCACTCTGTTATCAAAACTAGTTCCTCTATGGTAGGGTGTTGCATGGGGATGTGTAGAAAACTGATTTTGGTCGGCCCGTGGCATGATCTCTTGTGGAACAGAGTATATTAAAATATTAAAATACAAAAGATATATTGATGTAGCATTCTTTTATTATGTGGCATACCAATGGGTCCATGCAAAGATATTGAGGTGAGAGTTTTTATAAGACCATTTGGTGCTTTAACTATTTGACCAGGTAAACTATTTGATATTGTGGATAACCAACGTTTAAGGTTATCATCTTCAACTAACTTAGTGGTATTCTGATTAATTGCTTCAAGTAAACTAGTTGTGACAGTTATGCCTATCCTAAAGAAATTACAATAATTTTGTATACATACATTTAGTAAATTTTGCCTTTCTTACTTTGCTAGGTTTATGGAAGGTTCAACTAGTGTCTTCCAAGGAAGAACTCCATATTTTACATTAGCATAAAACAATCCTGCTAAAAAACCTGGTACTCCAATAATATTATCTGAACTATGTGTAGCTCTAAAATCAATTGTATTTCCTATACCAGTTCGATGATCGTATACCACCATAACACCACTTCTAAAAAGAGAATTAGATAATTTAAAAATAATTATACAGTATTTGAGCTATATATTATTTTACTTGCCCTCCTAATCCTGAAAGATGAGGAAGTACTACAGAGTTGCATAAGGTAGTAGTAATTGCTGCATCAACTGCATTACCACCCATTTTAAGCACATTAATTCCATATTGAGAGCATTGATCATTATCACTTGCTACATTTCCATGAGGTACTAACTTTCAAGTTAAAAAGATCTTAATTTAATTTTTTACTACATAAATTTAAACTTATCATACCTGATTTGACCCAACATGAATGTGAATTAATAAAATAAATAATAATCCAATGCAAAATACCATACAAAATCCTACAATAAATTTAAGTAGAGCTTTTTCATTGTTATTTTTAGCATAAAGTGGTGTCTTTTCACTACCATCAGGATCATATACAGCTGAAATATTATAAAGTTCAAATATAAATAATAAATAAGTATATTAAACAAATAGGTATTGGCTTAAATTGAATTATATTTAATCAATTTTAAGTTAAAAAATAAAAATTATAGAACTAACTATTGCACAAAAAGATTCAGTCACATTTTTTTCAAAACAACTATAAAATATAAGTATATTAGTCATGAATATAAATCAAGAATTAATACGGTAATTAATAAGTATTGCAAGAACCAATTATTTGTAAAATTGTTTAATTTATGTTTTTTTTTAAAAATTTTGGTGAAAATATCTTGGACTAACTCTAGATCGTAGATTAACTTGCCCCCCCCCCCCCATATTAAGTCTAAACGACTAAACTCAAACTCTCGATTACGCATTCTAAAAACATTTATTAACAATAACAAATACACTAATATCAACATAAAAACTGCTTATATATAAATCTTTAATCAAATCAGTCTGTACATATGGTATACAGTTATGGGGTAATGCAAAAAAATCAAACGTAAATAAAATACAAACATTTCAAAACAAAGCACTCAGGAAACTTTTAAATGCTCCTCCTTACGTCTCAAACCACACTATTCACACTGATCTAAAAATGAAATTGGTACACGAAGAAGCTATAGCTCATTACCGACACTTCCACAATCGTCTTTACTCTAATAGCAACCCGTTTATACGAAATCTCGCTAATTTTTCTATTCCTAGAAACCCACACAGACGTTTAAAACGAAAATGGTGTCGTGACCTACTTGTTCACACCCCTCCCATCAACTAATCCAAAATCAGAGCTTCAGTTGTTTAACTAATTTTACAAAAAAAAAAAAATCAATATTGAGTGTCATTAGTGGATGACTTCTCACGTCAAGCGTATCATGTGTAATTTACTCTAACCATATAAACTTATTGTGCCCCTAAGGTATAGATTGTTTATTTCAAATAAAAATAAAAATAAAATTTGGTGAAGACAGGAAAATATTCAGCTTAACTTGCAACATTAATTAGTATTTAAATATTTAAATATGTACATATATTAATAAAATAATCTGGTTTGAAATTTAAATAATTATAATTTTTTTAACAACATGAATATATTTTCTAAATACTTTTTAATATTCAATAAGTTTAGTTATTAAGTCATTTAGTTATATAGACTATAAATCTAAATTTTTAATCTCTTGATTTATCACTTTGAACCAGCAATAGAAGTTATTGTTATTACGTAAAATAGAGATAAAAGCATTTTAGGTATTGATTACAAACTAGGAAGTAGGTACGGTAGCTATTTAATACAATTTTAAAATTTTTTTGATATCAGGGTACCTATCTACAGTTCAGACCAAGGTAATTATAATATTATAATTACCTTGGTTCAGACTATGTTATACCTATGTAAGCTGAAAGAATTAAGTAATCAATACATTTTTTAATTCAATAAATATAGTTTTCAATGGTGTAATCGAGATAATTAATGACGATAATAAAATAAACCCATACACTGACTGGAAAATTTATCAATTGTGTCGCCATCCATCGTAGACTATTTTCTCACATCTCCATCGTATTATATATATTCCTCAAAATAACAAATGAACAATTAATTTAAGTATTTATTATAAAATAGAATAAAATCGATCACTCAATTACTGACTACCGAGACCAGAGTACATAGATCTTGATTCTCGACTGATCTCCTCGAAATACGATTTAAGATACCACATTACCACTACACTATCACGGAATATATAAATATTATATACATTTTTTGTTATCAGTTTTGTCTTACGACCGTGTCGTGTCTCGTGTATGCAAAATTGTTAAAACTGTTGTTATATCTATTATCTGCATTTTGCAAGAATTTGTATAATTTTATGCCCGTCATTGCACGACTGCACTATTATTTTTTCTAGCACGACGCGCTTCCACATCATGTCTAGTATACTACGTATTGTACTACTATGTGTATTGGAAACATTTCTTAACACTAAAAACTTCGGTCACAGATATAAAACATGAAAAACTAAATTAACTTATATATCTGTGACATGACTGACACCAATGACACCATCAAGATTTTCAAGAAGAAAAATTCGATACGTATCGATACGAAATAGTTACGTACCACCTCGTATCGGAGTTTGAGTCCGATACGGGTCGGTACGTATCGATTGTATATTGCACGTGTAACATCTTGAACGCTCAAAATTGACCCGATACGTACCAATACACTCCTAATTCTTTGTTGAAAATCTTGCATGTTTATTTGGTACATAGAGATGTCCTATCCATGAACATCCTCTTTATCGTCTTATGCTCATATCCTTGTGTATATTATTATCTAAGCTACTAGGTTAAATAATTAATATTCTCTAATATATTCTAATAGCCTAATAATTATTTTATTCTGTGCTAATACTCTATACTTTAATCATGGATAACAAATTTTAAATTTGGGACACCCCACATCCATCAAAATATATTATTTATAGTTCACATTTCACGGTTCTTGAAAGTCGGTTAAATGCAATCTAGCCATAAAGGAATGAAACAAAATACCTAGTTAAGTGTAGTTTACAATAATTTTAACACAGATATAGAAACGTAATTATTTATTTAATAGTTTCATTGTATCGTTTATAAGAATGGAATAAAAATAAACACACGTCTAATCTCATAATGTTTAGCTGACACTTGCGCAACAGTCTGTTTATTGAGTCCAGCAATATTCGTTCACTTGGTGAAAATAAATTGTCCATAGCCTCTTCAAAAAAATCCTTGTCGGCTTCTTGTTTATCTTGTAATCCTTGAACCATACCATCAAATCGAGCTTTATTTTTTAGTAATCTCTTGTTATCTTCACAAGTCTTAAATTTCCACATCATGCAGTTCCCAATCATTTTTAATATTTCTTCTGTTAATTCTTGATGTAGTTGACGTTCATTTAAATGATACAAATAAAAAGATTTCCCATCATTTCTACCTAAACGAGTATTTGGTTTTCTTAATTCTTGAACTTGGAGATAATTATTCATAAATAGTTCAGATGTTAATGTTTTTGTTTCACGGTCTGGTATTAAAGCAGTTTGTTGGAGACGTTCAAGTTCTAGGAGTTTGTTGCTCCTAGTCGCTCTGAATAACCTTGCAGAACTTTCACCGAACTTATAGCTTACTACTTGGTCCATTATTGAATCATTTAAACAATTTATTATCTGCTTAAAATTAACAGTTATGTTGCACATTGTACCATACGATTTACATAAAAATTTAGTAGGGTCTTCTTCTATCATTGTTATATATTCTAATAAATAATTATGACCAACAGATAAATTACTTCTAATTAATTGCAATGATATAGGGTTTGAAACTGGTGCACTACTGTCAGCACATTGACTTAATATTGTTGACATTACTTCTCCTACAATTGTATCATCAAATGTTCTTACAACAGCATCTTTAATGATTTTATTTCTCATGTCTTGATGAAATTTATTGAAATTAAGAGTAAACAAAATTTTTTTCTCGTCTTTTTGATTTTTTGTTGGTGGTGTAAATATTTTATTTTGTTTAACTTCAGTCCAAACAACATATGTGGGTGTTCTTTTAAAATATTCATTTCTAATTAATTCAATACCCTTTTCCCAATAATTATTGTACAAATCATCGGTTTCATTCTGTAATTTAATACATTCACTGACAATTTTTGATAAAGAAGCTCGACCAAGACAAAGTAAAGTTTCAACAAGTTCCTCGTATGGATTGCCAAATTTTCTCTTAATAATAGATAAATATTTTGGGTACCTTAAAATCATTAGAATATTTTCCATATTCAATTTGTATTCTATTTGTACTGAGTGGACATTACAAATTGCCGATACAAAATTGAACTGTAATAAAACAATTATAGTTTCCTGTATCAAGTGCCGAGGATATTTTCCATCCAACATGGTACTTAAAGTCATTAGGGATTTCTGACCCCATTGTAGAGGTTTTGCAATTTCAGAAATGTCTTGACCAAAATAATCACGCAAAATAGATGTACAAATACGACAATAGTCGGATGACATATTAATCTTATTTCAAAATACTAATTATAATTTTTTTAAATAACCAAATTATCACTAATATTATTTAATATTATGCCAAACGCCGCACGTGTACACAATTTTTTATAAATTAAACTATTTTTGTCAAAACTCAGAAATTATGATTCTATCTTAGAGTACAACTAGTGATGGGCATAATCGAGTGAACATAATCGAGTTACTCGATTGTTGATAATAATCGAGATATCTCGATTATTAAAATAATAATCGATTATGTAACCGAGTGATTTTTCACTCTAACTATAGTAACTCGAGTACTCGTTACTCGACTACTGAGGTACCTTATTCGAAACTTTATTTTTAGAATCCTAAGTTCAAAACTCCGAACAGGGTAAACGGTAAAAACTAAAGAATTGAATGAATAATATTTTATATTAGTCATTACTTAATATTTATATTTTAATCATGGTGCACTATGTTATTATTATTGTTGTGTACGGTGTACGTTATTTCATAGGAATACCTGCTTTCAGCGTCTCATATCAAGTAAAAATGACTTAAACTGCAATAAATTCCGCGTATTGGCGATAAAGTAGCCTGATATCTTTAGATATGATACCTGTTTGTTATCTAGCGGTATAACAATAAACTTTGAATCCGTATACATTTTACTGAATAATATGCGGCATAGAGTGCCGTCGTGCTGGTGCCCGAGGGTTAATATCCGTTTAAATAAATATATTACATCATATAATAAAAAGTGTACAAATAAAAAATACTATAGGCGAAGCATTTAAAACTACCTTAATAGATGTAGTCAATCGGCGATTGGGGCATTTAGAAAAGAATAAGATTGTTGCAAAAGCAACATTTTTGGATCCTAGATTTAAAAAAACTGCTTTTGGATTACTCGAAAATGCTAATAATGTACAAAAATGGATATCAGACGAACTAACACCGATGATAATATGTGCAAATAACGATATTTATAATACTGAAGTAAATAAAATTCAGTCTACAACAACAGCATCAACTTCTGATACAAGTAATTCAATTTGGGATCATTTTGATAATAAAGTTTCACAAGTTCAATCTTCGTCGAGTCCATCTACAACTTCAACTTTGATTATTCGCCAATATTTAGAAATGCCACTGTTGGATAGGAAAAAAAAATCCATTACATTTCTGGAAGCAGCATAAAAATACCTTTCCAGAGTTATATAAAATGCAACTGAAGTATTTATGTATACCGGCTACATCAGTTCCTTCGGAACGAGTATTTTCAAAAACGGGGCAAATAACTAACGACCGTCGGAGCAGATTAACTTCAAAAAATCTAGATTATATAATTTTTTTAAATAGTAATTTAAATTTTTTTAAGTAATTACAATTGTTAAATTTATTAGTAACTATTATTATTTATGTCTAAAATAATTTGCCAGGTTAACGTTTAAAATGTTTAAATAAAAAATGAGATTATGATTTATGCACATTTTTATTTATATTGATCATTTTGACTATTACGAATACCTATTAATAACAAACTAATACTATTCCAAGTTATCATATTAATTGAACATTTTGCGTAATTATTTCGATTGATGATTCGATTATGAAAATATGTATATCGATTATATGTAATAACTAATATTAGTAATATCAATCGTAAATTTCGAGTGATTATTTCGAGTGATAACTCGATTATAATAATATATCGATTACTAATAACTCGATTATAGAAATAATTCGATTATGCCCATCACTAAGTACAACTACCCTGGTGGCCCGGTCAACGATATTACGATTACCACAGAGCAATAATATTACTTAGATAGTTATCTATCTTAAACCGTGTATAGTAGTGATAATACGATTATAATCACAGATAGTAAGCAGGATTTAAGATAATATTATCTTAATTCATGATAATAAGTGATACCATGGCTGATAACGATATTAACAGAAAATTAACCGCCATAACCTAAAAAATAATTGTATAATGTTCAGCCGTATTTTTTATTGTTTTCATATTATGAGTTATTACAATGTATTTTTATTATTTACCTTAATATGAAATGAATATTGACCGTTTTCTCCGTCTGTGACCTGTTTGTAACTGTATTCTGCTTTCAGTATATGTTAAAAATAAGACGTTTGAATTAATTATTGTAAAAGCTTCTAAAATTTATTTTTGTTATAGATCCCTTAAGCATGGAGAGTGAGTACAATTGAACTCAATTAAAAATATATTATACTGGAACTTGGATTTTTTTATTAAATTTAATGTTTCTAATTTATCTAGATTGTCATTTTTTTTTTAATTTCGTTTTTTTATTATTTGTGTTCATTGTGTTATATTATCATTTATTTTATTTAATTTAGCTGAACTGTTACAAAGTTCGTGGTCACCATATACAGAGCTGCTACCTGTATTGGAGAATATTTTTACAAATGAAAGACCCAATGTAGCATTTTTAAAACGTATTTTACGTGCAGCTAAACCACATTTTTTGAATGTATTTAAGAATCCAGTAAGTTGCTATCAAAAGATTTTAATCATTCATTTGTATACTAAAACAAAAAATTTTAGCCAAAAAATGTCAAAAGCCGAGAACAAATCATGAAAGTCTTGGCAGATGGAAAACCAATTCAGAAATTTGAGATGTTAGCATTACCTAAAGATATGGCCGAAGAAGTGCTTATTCTCTCAGATATGTATGATTTAGATGAACTCATGTCTTTGGAACTGTTAAATACTGGTAACTGAATATCCATCAATACTTATTTCACAGATTTTAAATTTATGAATGTATAAGGTATATATGTAAGGGTTTATTTAATACCTTACATTTATATTTATTTACATTTTATCAACTTGTTAATTCATTTTTTAATTTTTTATTGATATATTTACTATATATTATTTATTTAAATAATATATATATGGTTGTTTCTAAACAAAAATAGCTAGATACCAAAATCCAAAATATCCAGAACTTTGCCGCGGTTTAGTAGCAGTATTGTTGTATTACAATGCACATCGTATGCTAGCATCTTCTTTAAGACTTCTTATTGAAGGAAGCACTGGTCGTACTTGGATGCCACGTGTAGATCCAGCATGTGCACAACATCTTGGCCAATTTGTTGATCAACTAATGAATGATGGATTATTTATTAACATTTTAAGTAATTATACTGTTCAATTTTACTTTAATCTGTATTTTTACTTAAAATTGTATTGTTTTATTTAGTTGTTTTGGAGAACAAAGATTTGACTAAAGAAATTGAATTACTTCAAAAAAATAAAGCAATTGGTGGTCCAAAACATCACCAACTTGTTGTGAGCTTATTCACTGAAATTCGTACAATGTTAGCGGAATGTGTTTTTTATTATTCTATTCAATTTGGTTTATCAAAACAACAACTAATAAGGTAAACTACGACATTTGAATTTTGAATTTTAAATTGAATACTTTAATTTACCTTTAATGTATTATTTATTTTTAACACATAATGGTGTTTAATTTATTTAGTTTATTACAACATTTACAAAAGATAAAACCAGATGTAGAATCCCATGGAGTTATTAGTAAAGTACCTTTATTTATGGTGACTTCATTTTTATATGCTATTGATTTGGACTGTATGAATAATACTCAAGAAATTAGTGGTGGTAATTCAACAAATAATAAAATTTGCCTATTTGTTATATTTATTTATTTTATAAAATACATTTTTAGATACTAAAGAACTATTTTTATCTTCGGCATATGCTGAACTTACTACACACGATTGGGAATGGCCAGAACTGAAAAGTATAGCGTCTTTTGGATTAGCTGTAGCATTCTCAAAATTACGTTCTTCACAACATGTATTTAAGGATAAAAATTTATTCAAAATTGACGAAACATTAATTAGTAATGCTATGGATACTAAAGTATTTAGATTTTTAAATCAAAATGTTGCTCCTTCAGAATTTCTTCATTATGTGGTATGTATTATACGTTTCTGTATATTGTGTAATTAAAGCAAAACAATTATTTTCAATTTTGACTATTGAAAAGTACTTTCTTAAAAATTATATTATTGTTATATAGAGAATATCTTCATAAAAGATAAATACAATTTGTATTTTTTCTATTATCAATATCAGTATACGCTATATCTCTTTTCTCTAATAACTATAAGTTTTATTATATTGAATACACTAATTACCAATACATCCAAAAGTGCCATAATTTTCTTTTTTACACCTAACAAAATCATTATAAGGAATGCCTGAAATACTAATTCAACTGTAACTTGTTAAATAGACCAACCAGTATTAATTATTTAATTTATAAACACAAATTTTTTTAGGAATTCATGATAAAAAAATTTCATCAATTGATCACTGAATTTATTGTTATGATGCCACATACCGTCAAAGAAATAAGAAACAAATCAGATGAAATAGCACACACAATTTTAATTTATTACCAAGTAATTTGTCATAAAAATGTTTTTAATTATCTCAATATATTCAATAAATTGCATTTTTAGGAAGGATTAGAACCTCCAACAAGTGAAGAAAATCATTTTGAACAATTGTTAATGTTGATGGCAGAATTGTATGCAAAAGATCCATTAGAGTTAAACTTAAATTTGGATTACTGGCCACCATCTCGTGAACAATTAAAAACGATCAAGATGTCATCATTTTTAACGACTCAAAAATTTCAAGCATCACTATACAGATTTATTTGTCAAACTGGTGACATGTTGCCTCATATGTTATTTGTCCCATATCTAAACATGTTAAGCTCATTAGCAACATCTGAAACTGGGGCTGAAAATGTGTTTAATCATTTTCATTCTAATGCAACTAATTCAAATCTTACTTGGGATCATTTTTTCAAAACTTTTTTGAGGTATTATACTAATTTAAGACAAGAAAATATTCCTCCAACTGATACTGTGTACAAAAGAGGACATCAAAAAGGTATTACTGCTCTTGAAATACAAGGACTTCAAGCTGTATTAAAATTGATCAGAAATGTAGCAGGTTTGTTCCATTATGTTCTATTAAAAATTGTATTTATGTTTAATTCATATAATTCTTGCCACACCTGTGCCGAAAGTTAAATTTTTAATGCTGGTTAAGAAATTGAAAAATAACTTTTTTCAAACTACAGAAATTTTATATTATAGTCGTAATAATAT